CTCATCTGGACATAGCAATCACGTAGGGGAGATGTCCTCGGTGCAAGCCCTGGGCGGAGTACCATCAACCTTCCAACTTCAGGGCGCTCCCTGTGGCTGGACGGAATCAATTTCACACAACGAACTGAAACCATGGTTGAAACCACTGTTTGTTGGCATGTACGTTGGGGAATCGAATCATTCAAGGGTTTCTGAACAGTGGTGCGAAATGGATTTCGCAACCACCCACAGCATGTCAGGCGCCCATAACGAAGTTCTGGGCTCTTGAGACCAAGCGGCCAGGCGATCCCCGGACGCAGGACGGGGCTGGACGAAGGGGACGGGGGGGGGATGGATGGGGATGGACTGGGCTGGGAAAAAAGCGCGAAAAGGCGAGTTTCATGGTGGATGTGGGATCGAAACTTAGAACAATTTGGATTCTGGGCGAATGCACTTCACGAAGGTTTCTGTTCCCCACTGAGCAGGTGGATGCTCAGTGGGGAGGCCTTTAGAGGTGATGATGCCCCCCTGCCATTGCGGGCCCTTTTGGTTGAACAAAAGAACGAGGTCGCCCCCAAATGACACCAAAAGAACGACCATGCCGGCGGTCCATGCTGTCCCAAAATGGCTTTATACATTTCAGGCTGGTTCTGTTGACCCCTGTCAACATCAGGGGTAATTACGACCTAAATATACAACGAGTAGCAAGGAAGTTGGGTTTCCCTTTCAGTGGCGTTCGAACCCTCAATTTTTGCGGGTTTTGTGATTGGATGCGGTTGGATGCGGACTCCGCCCGGTCCGGCTGCTTTCGCCGTGTGCAGGAGGTGCATCCGTTGCGGTCAGGCGTGATCCAGCAATCGGTGTCTTGTTTGGGGGGAAGCCCTTTTCGGTTGGTTTGAAAGGAAAGCCAAAAAGGAAACCATCCATGTCGTAGGTCCCCCGAATTTGAAAAGAACCGCACTGTCCAAACCCTTCGTTCATTGGGGGCCCTTGCCGGCGTCTAAGAAACGCGTTTCGACCGCTTGCATCAAAGGACAAGCATGTGCTTTTTGGCCCCAACTTGTCAATGGGCCCTGGTCATTGACATAGCCTCCATGGTTTGGTTTTCCTGCTGGAGGGGGGGTCCTACCGACAAACGAGGGTTGATGCACAGGCCTCCTTTGGCAAAAGCAAGTCGTTTTCCAAACCTGTGCTGGGGCAGATTTAATTCCCTGAGATTTGAACCAGTAGGCGTAATTATGGCGTTGCTGGCTGTTGTCCCAGGTACACCTCACTCGGAGCAATTGCTGCCTTTTTGCTTCTTGGGGTGGGGGTCCTGATTGTGAGAAAGAGGGTTTGGCAGTTTTCTGTACGAAGGAAAAGGGACCCTTCTAACGTGATGTCGTTGGTGTCCACAGAAACTGTGATTCTCCTCAACCCCTCGAATTTATGCTGGTCAACCGCACGGTCGAGCCTCAAAAGAAACACCGGGGGCGGGGGGGCGGGGCTGGTAGGGGTCCCCGGTTCCTCCTTTGCCAGGCGCAATGTCCTCAGCCTTGGGATCTTCGGCCGCGGGGCTCTCCCCCTCGGAGATGCCGGTGCTGAGCCCAGAAACTGTCGCAAAAGGTAGCTTGTTGCCACTTTGAAACCCGCCAGACAGGGGCTTCTCCAAAAAAGAAGCGCCCACAAAACCAAAGGCTGGGGGGTTCCTTTTCATTGAGCTCAGAAAGCTCTGGGCAAATGAGCTCAGCCATCCGGTTCGGTTGCCCTATTTCTAGGGAATTAGAGTAGTTTGCCGATGTTTTTCCACCATGTGTGTGTGTGTGTTTTGTCCACCATATTTGTTTTTCTCCCCATTTGTTTTTCCGATGTGTGTGTGTTTCTGACTCGTGAGGTTCCACAGGTTTCCACCAGCGGGCTTCCGCGAGGGTGGTTCCGAAAATGAGCTGGGAATATCACCTGAGCTTATGGTTTAACGGGGAAACCAGAGGAAAACCACGAAAGGTCGGGGTCCCCGATGTTTTGTGTCACACACCGTTTTCGGCCGGAAAGCCACACCGCACACAACTTGCAACACCCCACACCGCAACACGCAACACAGCACACAGCACAGCGCAACGCCGCACCCCGAATTTGTCCACCAGCACCCAAAAAAGGCTTGAAGAGTCCACGCAAAGATCTCTTCTTCAGCATATCGAACACGTGCCCCAGGATGCCCTGCACCCGCTACAGTACTTCCATTCGCTTCAGAAAACGTGTAATTCCCCCCTTGTTGGTTTAAAGGGAATCCATTCATCACTACTTGCATATTATATTTACTTTTGCAAGTGGAGGAGTAGCTAAATCAATAAAACAGTTGCGAATCAAGCCACCGTTCAGTGGAGGACCATTCTTCATGGTTTCCCCTAAGCACACCACCAGCATCCACCGCGCCGTTCGGTCTCGCATCGATTTCGAGGTGCCCACGGAGCTGCCCAGCTCGCCTCAGGCGCCGCCTTTGGAGGTGCCGTCAGTGGAGGCCCGGCGGCCCAGATCCAAATGAGCTGGGGCTTGGTGGCTTTTGGGCGAGGTTTTCCAGTCCCACCTGGGGTTCACCTGGAGTGGGTCCCCGAACAACGGCAAAAGAGCTGCTAACAACATGAAAACATCACTGGGGTAGACTTAGTTGATACATGTTACATACCAGTGACTCCATGTGAAGCAAACCATGAAGTATGGGTATGGGTCAAAGTTAAAGCACTGGGGGATTCCAGGCTATAGTCCTTGGTTCCATTTACCAGGCTTCCATCTTGGATACCAACTTGTGACCCACAGCCATATACATTCTATAACTGGGCCTAACTCCAATCATGATGTGGTATGAGTGCCGATCGGTGTGCATATTGCTGTAGAACATCTCGTTTGACACTCTAGATTCTCGAGCGAACTTCCGTTTGACTTGCGCAGCTCCCTCGTCTCCGAGAGGGACTCGGGCAATCCCCAAGGTGCCTCGGGACATTGCCAGCGCTGTCTCAGGCAGGCCCCGAATGCTGCAGAGGGCCCGGACATTGATTTCCTCTTGGTTTCACTTCTTGAGATCTGGGAAGACCATTCCAGTGGCTAGCAAGAAACTTCTGCTTGGGAGTGGTTGCCCTGCAAAACAGCCCTAAAACGGGCGCCAGCGACAAGACACGGACACCAAAGGGTGTGTTTGGCCAGCCATAAGCCAACAGGTCCAATTTTTTTCTCAGTGCGGTGCAGCCATGGTCACCAGTCGGTCAGCGCACGCAGTTGCGGTTCATGGCCAGGCGAGTTTGACCTCGATGCGCGGGAGCCCGGAAATTTCCCGAAAGCGTGACCAAGGGTTCTTCTGCGCGGAGCACTTGCACAGAGCACCTTGCACCGAGCAGCTTCCGCCGACAAATTGCGCTGAGCTACTGACACAGAGCCAACTTGAGCAGAGCAACTTGCACAGATCCATTTGCGCACGCTTTTCTGCGTATAGCAGTGTGGACGTAGTCTGGCTGTGAATAGTGTGCAAAATAAGAGTCTTCTGTTTTGGCGGCGGCAACCTTTGGGGGCCAAGCCGGCCCACCTGCGCCCCTTCCGGTCTTTGGCCTCGGATTGCAGGGGGCTTCTGTAGAACTCCACGACGTGCGCTTGCGCAGCTGAAGCACCGGGCCGCCACCGGGCCGCTGCAGCGGCTTACCACGGGCTCCCGACACACACCCTGGGCGTAAGTGGTCTCGCTGACTTCCCCCCAAACTGTCCACAACGGGAGCATGTCCTGACGAAATCGTTTGCTGAGTCTTTTGCCTGAGCCAAGTTTGGGAGCAGCTCCAAGTATCCGGATTCTTAGGGCCGGCAAAGCCCATCTTCTGACCCCTTTGCTTCTCACAATCCCTTGCGGGAAAGAACCACCAGGTAGGGGGAATGGGAAGCTCGTATGGCGACCGCATGCAACAGCCAAATCCGTTTTTGAAGCCGAGGTGGAACTACCGGTTCCGGAGCAGTCAGGCGGGCCATGGGCCACAACTAACATTTCTTGGTCACAAGTACGTTCCAAACACAAGCAGGCTGAACCAAAGCCAACTCTTCAGTTTTGTGTTTGTCTTTCTTTTTTTGTGCTGTATTGTGTTCTGTTGTGCAGTGTTCTGTTCTGCTCTGTTGTGTGTGTGGTGTGTGTGTGTGTGTGTGGATTTTTGTGTGTGTGTGTGGACGCGTGTTTGTGTGAGTGTGTGTGTAAGTTTCTTTTGTGTGTCTTCCGTGTGTCTCCTGTGTGTCGTCTGTGTGTGTGGTCTGTGTGTGTGGTCTGTGTGTGTCTCTGTGTTTGTGTGTGTGTGTGTCTCTCTCTCTCTCTCTCTCTGTCTCTCTGTGTCTCTCGGTCTGTCTCTCGGTGTGTCTCTGTGTGTGTCTTTGTGTGTGTGTGTGTGTCTTTGTGTGTGTGTGTCTCTGTGTGTGTGTGTCGCTGTACGTGCTGTCTCTGTGTGTGTGTGTTCTGTGTGTTTGTGTGTCTCTGTGTGTGTGTGTGTCTCTGCGTGTGTCTGTGTGTCTCTGTGCGTCTGTGTGTGTGTGTGTCTCTGTGTGTGTGTGTGTCTCTCTGGGTGTCTCTGTGTCTCTCCATGTGTATGTGTTTGTCTGTGTGTTTGTGCGCGTTTGTGCGCGTATGTGGTGTGGTGTTTTTTTGGTAGGGAGAACAATCCCAATGAAAGATAGGTGCAGTCGCCGTCTGCATTCATTACACCATTTTGCGTGGACTGCTTTATTACCGTGCTTTTATTGTGCCTCACCTGCCAAAGAAAAGGTGCTGTCTTCCCCATGGGCACTGGCGGGCGTTGTCAAGCCGTGGCATCGGGGTCGCCTTTGAGATCAGCTGAGAAGTTGGTGTTTGGATTTGTAATTGATGTTCATTCAAGCACAGTCCCAAGCTTTGCCTTTTCCGTCTGGAAGGAAATTGGGAAACACCTTTGTGGGAGCTGTTAAAGGGAAACCAAAAGGACGGACATCGCCTACCAAAAAAACAAGCCCTCCCATCTCCGGCCAGCTCTGATGTCCTCAGCCCCTTCGCCAGCGTCTCCATTCGAAATGCCGGCGCGAGACCTCAGCAACTCAAAGTGAAAGCTGGCCGCTCCGCATTTTGTTCGGTGGCTTTGAGCATCACCTTTTGGTTGCCAAAAGTGGATTTACGTCCGGCAGGGGATGGGGAACAGTGGGAGCCTGTGACGCCAAAGAGTGGTTCTCCTTGGTTGCTGGGGATTGAATTCTTGACAAGGCTGAATTTTCAGTGATATCACAGGTCAAGTTCGCCTCCGGCAAGCCTGATACAGAATGTGCTCTTGCACAGTACGGCAGCTTCAAACAAGGTACAATCACTGGGCTATGGGGAGTAGCGGAGGCGCCGCGCTCTGACTCGAGCCTCAGAATCAAATCATGAACTTAAGATACCCTAGTATTTGATCTAGTAGGAAAAAGGGGCAACTGGGATCTCGTTTGAAGCGATGTTGCATTTCAAGGCTTGCTACATCTGCGCCGGATTCAAACAACATCTTTGGTTGCGACAGCTGAAATAGGTCAAGTGTCTTGGTGAGTGGGCGGGGACCCATCCTGAGGTGCCCACAGAGATGCCCACCTCTCCAATGGAGGAACCTTTCGGCACCACCATGGAGGCAGAAACTGTCGGCTGGGTTGGTCGCCCCTCTGGGTGATTTGGCAGGTGGTTCTACTCCAGGTCATATGGCTGTGGGTCAAAAATGGGTACCCAAAATGGAACCCTGGTAAATGGAACCAAGGACTAAAACCTGCGGTCCCCTGGTGGTTAAATTTTGACCCATACCCATATTCAAGGGGGCCTGTAAATCTTGAAAACTACAACGGAACCAAACGTCAACCGGTGAAACAGGTCGCTGCAACTTTCTGTGTTCGGGATCCTCCCCCCCCCCCCGGTATCATGGACGTCGGCAATTAGACAGTTTTGGAAGACTACATGTATCTTATAACTAACTAGCGTTGTGCTAAGTATATTATATGTGGATATAAACAGCTATGTCATTGCATTCCTACACAAGCCCATGACGGAAGCTTCAGAGGGTGAAACGGATCCAAAACCGCCGCGTCGAAACCTTCAGGTGCCGACGGCGGAGGGCACTGTGCTCTCAGGCGGTTGGAGTCGTGGGGGGAATTTGGGTGACCCGTGTGGGCGAATGTCCCATGTGGGCTCTAACAACCGAGTGTGTCGTTTTTAGGAAACCCCGCAAAAAAGGGAGGTTTCTTTTTGGTTGCCCTCCAAAAGAAGTATCCTTAAAACAGCCCACACCCCACTGAGCTACGACAGAGGCGAAAAGCGCCTTGCCCCCCTGGGCGGCGATCGGCGCCTGTCTTTTCCGGGTCCCCTTGGCCCAGAAAGCAAAATTTTGTTTGGGTAAACGGGTCCCCACAAAGGGTGGGCGAATGATGGATTGTTTAGTTGTTTTGTGCTTGGGTCCGGTCATTTGCTTTTGGCCCTGGCTAATCTTTAGATATTGCGTTGTTTTCCCCTCATATGCACATATTCATATATCATATCTATATATATATATATATGTCTATGTGTGTGTGTGCGTAATTATGTGTGTTTGTGTGTCTGTGTGTATGTGTGTATACACCTTTATGCACCTTTGCCGCAGTGAAACCCGGTAGAATCAACGGACGTGACCATGTGAGGCCTGTCTCCAGTAACACTTAGCTGTTATCCTTGATCAAAGCTCGACAAACAACGGGGATGGTCCCTGTGAGCCACGGTCGATCTACCCCGAGACTGGAAATCGGGTACCAGCGCCTTGCGGATCAAATACGGGACCTCTATTTCCGGGTCGGGTTGCTTGAGTATGGCTGGCCACCTGGTGGACTTCAGCGTGTAGTTTCGGCCAGCCAGTGGACGACGTAATTTGTGCCGTCTCTCGCTTTTGGGGACCACCCAAAATGGTGGTTTTCTTTTGGCTTCCCGTTTAAACCGCCAACAAAGGGGCACCCTCACACAAAGCCACACCCCTTTGGGTTGTCGACCACTTTTCCGGTCCAAGCCAAAAACAACGTGATCTCACAGCCCAAGTCACCCGTCACAGAGCTTCCGCAGAGTGAGTACGGCTGACAAAATCCGCGTCAATCCATCGGAACCACACGGTCTCTATGCTGAAACGCCCCTTCTCAGCAGAAATATAACACGCCAACATTTAATTTGTTGGGGATCTTTGGAATAGTGACTTTTCGAGAACTACTGGCGACCACATTCCCTTCAAGCTGAAGGTACCAACCCATAGGGGTGTCAGTTTGGGGCACTGAACCGAGGACGAGCACGTAGCTTCTTTTCCGGATTGCAACGCCCCTGCCTTGTGGCCATTTGGAGCAGTTTCTGGCTGGACATTTGGAAGGCAGGTGCAAAGTTTTGAACTGGGCGAGCGCCTGCTCCCTGTGTTAGGCGCCCCGAATTTGGTATTGTCTTGGTGAGCAAGTGGCCAGGTGTTCCGACCCAGACGCAGGACGGAAATGAAGGGGACAGAGGGAATGGAGGGGATGGAGGGGATGGAG